TTTTTTTTTTTTTTTTTTTTTTTTTTTTTTTTTTTTTTTTGTATGTTGCAGTTTGAATCTCAGGGGTGATGTGTGCGCCTTTCATTGATCTGTTGCCTCCTCACCAGGATTGAAGTGTGCATGCCAATTTTGTGGACCTTTCACTGCGCTTTGATCAACACACCGGAACCCATTCCACCTCCCATGCCCGACTTCGTGGAGCGTCATACCGTAGCTTGGACAAGTCTACCGGCTAACCTATCAACCGATCATCGGATCAGTTCAGCGGCTTGCCGGCAGACTTGTCCGTAAGCAGCTATACTAATCATACTGTTCATCACATCGACAACCAACGAGTGTTCCAATCAATCAATCAATCAGCACAACAACAGAAAAATTTCTCAGAATTAAATTTTCATTCTAGAGTAAAATTACATTCTAAATTTTAAATTTTCATTCCATCTTAAAAAATGTCATTCCAATTTTAAGATTTTCCGTCTAACTTAAAAAATTTCCTTCCAATAATGGGGTATCCCTTTTTATTTGAACTGCATGCTAGAGATGGAATGAAAGTCTGGATGAGTTCATGAAATATTTTAATTGAACTGTCATTCTAAGTAAGGATTTTTAGTCATAAATAGGTTAATCCAATTTAAATTAGAAGATATTTGTTGTAGTAGAATGAAAGTTTAATTACAACATTTCATAAACTCGTCCAGACTTTCATTCCATCTTGAACAAATAAATGTAGTTGGAACAGAAAGCTCATATTTAGACGGGAACTTGTCAAATAAAACTGAAAATTTTAGAATTGGACAAACATTGGAATGATAATTTATAAATATGAAGGATTTTTTTTTAATGGAATGTTTTTTCAACTTTCATTTCTCGCGGGAATTTTTCTGTTGAAAGAAAAAAACATTCACACCGAGCACAAGAAAGTGAGATTTGAAGAAACGCCTCGTCATATTCAAACACGACACACCATTCCATTGGTGGACTCCATCCACGAAACAAACTCACAAAACCCGATCAAACTTTTACAGTCGTTTAAAAAAATATTAATAAAACGCGCCATTCATCTATTGGCGCAGAGTAACCATCGCAATGACTTAACAATGCAGCGGCGTGGCGAAACGGAAACACAATCTTCGAAGTGGCCCTCGTGTGGCAAAACGCTTCAATGCATGCTAACCATCTGCGCTCGTCGCCATCCGTCACCCCTGTCAACGCCCTGACACGAAATTAATCCTGCTCGCGAGCGCAAAACCTCCAACCGAACCAACCCCAGGCTCCTTTCGCCTCGCCCATCATGCACTCCATTATCCTTGTTTCGTCTTGTGGACCGTCCTCCTTCCGATCGCCTTCAAAAGGTCCCGTCCCCATCCACTCCATTCTCGCCGCGACGTCGGATCCGCCAGGCCAGCGTTGTAGTTGAACCGCACTCCGCACGAAGCCCACTCCGGGATGTAGTCAGGGAAAGCGACCAGCGTCAACGGTGGCTTCCGTAGGCGACTTAACACCGCGTTAGTCGAGTGCATCACATGGCGGCGCCAGTTGAAGGACAATGAACAGGTCGCCACTAGAGTCGGCTTCGCCACTAGCTGCGAGTAGTACGACGCCTCCTCGTAGGAGCGCGCATCATTGCCTCCCATACGCATGATCCACATGCACGCGGCGAGAAGCAGGCGGAAAGCATCCCCGATTCTACTCAGTCTGTGGTGGGACAATCTACCGTCGTCCCACCACTGGCCGGCGCAGATCGCATTGTGCAAACACGACGCTAGATGCATCACAGTCGCCTCCTGGTGCGCGGCCATGTCATCATCCTCCGGCCTGTCCTCGATATACGCCCCGGCAAACCACAATGGGATGTCCATCTTCAAAGCGACCGTGTGGTAAACTACGCTGGGCGGCACTATCCTCGACCACTCCAAGCTCTGCCAGACTGCTCTCGCCAGGTCGGTGGGGTAATCCACGGCGACGTAGGACTCCGCGCGGGCGAAACCATCGGACCTTGAAAACGACCTGAATATCCACCCGTGGATGACGTGCATTGCCACGTTCTCCGTTTGTGTTGCCTGTCACAGAGCTGGCTCTCGCTGCGCGCCATCTTCGATCCGGACGCGTGGGACTTCGGGGGGCTGCATGATGAGGCCGTGCAGAGCGCTGGCGCCTGCATCTCCATTGACGATCATGTAGTAGTAGTCCGTGCAGGAATGCACGGCGTCCGCGATCATCCGTCCAGACCGGGTCCCCAGAACGTTTTGCCGTCTACCCACAGCTTCTATTTCGCCTCCAACTCCTTCTCCTGGCAGGACCTTTTCTTCCTCGTGCTCAGAGGCTCGTCGTCCTCGTCTTCCCCACGCGGACTCTCCTCCCTCCTCTCCTGTCTTATCCCCGCCTCTTCCACCTCCGATCTTCTCGCTTTTCTCTTGCAGTGGCGATGGGGGCATGGACAACGACGCTTGCTGCTTGTGCGGATTGAAGGACAGCCCTCGACGAAGCGCCCACGATCGTCATGTTCAACGCCTCCACGTGGCGCGATGGAGACTCACTGACTGGACCTTTATCAGCGCGCTCCACCATGGATGCGATGGTAGATGTAGAACCCATGGCCCTCTGCGGCGGAATGTCACCGATCACAACCACTTGCGGACACGCCGTCCCGCCACCGCCGGCGCGCGTGGACGTCAGGACGCCAAGGATGGTGAGCGCAAGCAGACGCTCCCTGCTCACACTTTCTCGCCCGAACCCAAGCGTAGGCGTCCCTGCCGAAGTGATATCCATAAGCGTCACGCCCTCTCCCCCCTTACCCCCCATCTCGCCTTCCGACCCGTCTCCCGTGCAGAGCTTCGTCGACCTCGGGACATGCCCCCTTCCTGTTAGGCCGGCACCTGCTACGTCGGATCCACCGTCTAGACGTTTCGGCTGCTTCTATCCATGTGGCGCCATTCGCTGACGATCGGATGCGCACGTCCCGCGAACGAAAGTGGAGTGCCACAGCCGCGTGCCGCAGAAGGGGACACGATGATTGGGAAAAAAGGCACGGACGCGCTTGAGAAGAAGGCGCTAACGATCGTCTTGCGCGGGCGATGATCAGCTCCCCGCGCAGTGCAAGCCAACCCCCACGCGTGGCCTTGCGGGCACTCGTGAACCGAAAGACAGGGACAAGATAGCGCACGCACGGACCTTTATAGTGCTCGCGGAGACCTTTCCCCTCCCACGGCGCGCGGATCCAAGCCAGACAGCCTCCAGTCCACCCCTCCAGGCGACCGCACTGACGATCACCAGGATGCATGCGCGCAGACCACCCGAAAAACCAAGGGTCAGTGCGGTCCACGGAAGTGACGGCCTTGCCCTGGAAGGCCAGCGACTCACCATTTCGAAGTGCGCGAGGCCAGACGGCCATCGCCCACACCATCCCCCGCCTTGGTTCCTGAATTTCAGGCGTCGGAGGAGGAGCGGCACTAGATTTCCCCATCGGCCACTTCGCAAGCGAATCCACCACAACGGCGTAACAACCTCACGCCACCCCCGTCAAGATTTGTCCCTTATCGCTCTGGCAATCTCCATCAACGTCGTGCACATCATCCTGTTCGCCTCGTCGGACGCCTCGTAATGCCTCTCCAGTATGTCACACTACCGCTTACGGGTGTCAACCTCCCGGTCTAGTATGTCACACTGCCGCTCCAGGATGTTACACTGCCGCTTGCTCGTACCCTCTACAATGTCCGCCATCAATGCACCGTGTTTCTCCATCACTTCGGCGATGGCGTCGAAGCTTTGCTGGCGCATGTTTTTACTCTTTCCTGGAGCGCCCGTGCTCCCTGCACTGAACCCCGACTCCCGGGTCGAACCCCCATCTTCATCGACGCCATCACCCCCCTCTCCACCGACAGCGGACTCTCCACCAACGGGCGCCTGGCACTGACCATCCATTACTGGCGCCACTCCTCCGCGGGCGCTCGTGTCTGCGATGTTGTCCGGGTAGATGGTCTTGTTATTTTGCGACATGTTGTCGATCTCATTGAACACTCGCTTATCCATTCGGAAGTTGAAGCCCTCCTCCGTTCTCATTGCAGGAGTCAATATGAAGAAGTTCTTCCCCCCGGACATGTTTTGGTAACACTGCACCTTCTTGTACTGTTGGAAGACGTTATCCCACTTCTTGCCGATGTTGTCCGTTGTCCTGTTGACTCCCACCTCTGCCAGCCGCTTCTGCAGGTCCAGTAGCTTCCACTCCCTGTTGCGCATGCGACCGTAGTTGTGCGGCATTCCCTCGAAATGAGCTTGCTGATCCCGCTTCGCTCGAGTGAGCTTCAGCATCTCCTCGACACTCCAAGCTGGGTGCTTGCCGCCCTTGTCGCCCACAGGAGCCTTCGATCCTCGACCACCACGCGAAGCGGCCCTCTGTTGACGTCCGCCTCCTCCCCTCCGCCCACCACGTGCAGCCACGGGTCGGATCTCCAGCCCGTCAGCATCTTCCGCGTCGTCTTCGTAACGGGAATCCGGAGACTCGTCCCCACTCGCCCGACAGCTGTCGTCTGCATCCACGTCGCTCCCCCCACGCAGCCTGGACACACTGGTGGTGATGTTGTCCCCGCCAGCACACCGCATCTGTTGGCGGCAGTTGTCCCACGCCTGCCTCCCGATCTCTTCCGGTGGAGTCGCATCATTGATTGCAGCACTTGCGGTCGCCCTCTGCCACATTGCAGGCGAAGATACTGCGGGGAGGGTGGGTGTCGCTGCCCTTGACGACTCGCCAGGTGGCCCGGCGCCTACGGAACTGGAGGGCGGTGGACGACACCCATCCGTTGGCCCACCAACACGGGACGATCTTCCTCCGAACGTTGGCGCTCCCACCACGCCCACGGCCGTTTGTCCGACAGTCGTGCCCCCGCCGTGGGTCGGACCACTTGCACCACTCTCGCTGGACAATCCGAAATCCAAGTCGACAAGCTCCGTGGAGGCGTTGTCGACACCTTCGTTCAATAATGCGGAGAACGACTCACGCCTGTTCCCTGCTTCCCTCTGCTGGCACTGCCTGCTCGTCCAGTCCTGCGTAGATCCACTCCCCAAAGGAAGTGTGTTGGACAAATCCTCAACCCAGGCGTCCTCCGGATCCGGCGGCAACGACTGCTCGTGCGGTGTAAGATGACTGTACAACGACGGGTCATATGCGGCCGGTCGATGCCCTGACAGGGGCCGATCAGGAATGGAGAATTCCATGACACGTCTTTGCTGTCCGACGGAGCTCTCCCGTCTGTCCATTGTTGACTTCCTATGCACTTGTCGTCTCTGTCTACGTCCCGGAGCCCGCGGCACGACACAGGCGCGCAAGAAGACGAGAAGCAGCAGCAGAAGAGTGGCCAGTAACAGGAGCAGTAGCCGCCGGAAGATGTCTGCCATGAATCGCAGCACGTGTAGATGACCACCGAACGGAGATCCCTCACGCGCGCAGGCTAATGGCAGGAAAGGGGCCGGCCGGCGAGAAGATCACACCCCGCCGATAAAACAAAAATTTCAAAAAATTCAACCGTTGGACACGACGCCCGATGAAGCGCACAAGGAGAACCCTGCCGCTCCGACCTCTGTCGCACCCGAAGCAGCACCCCCGACCATCTACGCGTGAACGGTAGCACCACAAGGCCGTTGGTGGCCTCCCGCCTACCGGAAGCCGATATTGCCCGCCCGATGGACCACGGACGTCATGTGCACCAGCAAAAACAAAAAGTTTCCGTGTTGACGCACGCTCCACGACGGCCCGTCTATCACGGATCCTTGAGCCCGAGGGACCTCTCGACGACCCCTTGAATCCAAGGACGCCATGGCTGGGGATTCCAAGGGACCCAAGGAAATCTCTTGGGAGCGTTTTCACATTTTTTCAAGGAGTTTTGTTTTTTAGGACGCGGTGTAACCATAACTTTCGACACCCAAGTGCGTTTCCAAGGAGGGTCTAACAAGGCCCCAACTTAGGTGAGATTTTTCTAGAAGTAGCCGCCTTTAGGCTTTGATGATTCAAGAGTTTCTAATTTTTTTTCCTTGGTTTTGTTGGGGAAGTTTTATGTGAGAATAGATTTTGTTGGGGACATTGGACCCCGTTTCCAACAATAGCCGAAGCTGGGTAAGGACCCCCATAGTTCATCCCGGTTGAATTGTGAGGTCCCCAGCCTCCTTTCTATTCATTCTTGGAATAAGGAAAAAAAAAGAAAAAAAAAATGAAAAATGAAAAAAAAGCTTGACATGCACAAACAACAAAACTCATGCTGGTGTATCCTTCCATGTTGTAGCGGAAGATTCACTCTCTTTTGGGACATTTCAGGAGTAGTGGAGCGAGGCCCAAAGTTAAAAAAAAAAAAAAAAAAAAAAAAAAGTTAGCACACTTTTTTTTTTTTTTGGGGGGGGGAAAATTAGCACACTGAATAGACTCTACCCTATTAATACAGTGTTTTGTCTTGTAAAATAAAAATAAAAAAAGTAAAAAAAAGAAGAAGAAGAATGGACTCGACTGAGGGCCTCGGACGGTGCAAAAAATGAAACGAATTTTTTTTGGGGAAAAATTAGCACACTGAATAGACTCGACCCTATTAATACAGTGTTTTGTCTTGTAAAATAAAAATAAAAAAAATAAAAAAAAAGAAGAAGAAGAATGGACTCGACTGAGGGCCTCGGACGGTGCAAAAAATGAAACGAAATGACCTTGAAACTCGCGAGGCCTCGCAAGGCCGAAAATCACCGTTTCGTTTCGTTTGTTACACCACCGCCGCACGGCACACGCGAAATCACTCGCGGAAACGGCCTGACGAGTGTTGAGGTGCCTGACTTTCGCAAATGCTATTTTTTTTTTGGACGGACATCCCTTGGACCGATGGGCTGCATCCCTTGGACCGACTTGCTGCACTCGCGTGGATTCGCAGCTCCACCAGCAACCTTCGGAGGACCTACGACTTTTCCCGAGTTGCAGGCGGGCATAGAAGGGGCACGTGCGGAGGCTCGCGAATTGCAAATCTGACACACTTAGCGACTTCCTCCTGACAGTTTTCCTTTCTTGACTGTGCAGCGAAACGTTCACGAAAGGAATTAGTTTTTTTTCTTGTTTCGTGTACCGTCCGGTGAGGCCCTGAGAACAGACAAAACACACCCACACACACACACACACACACACACCTGCACGTGGACTCAGAAGAGACAAAACACACACACCTGCACCTGGACTCAGAACAGACAAAACACACACCCCTGCACCTGGACTCAGAACAGACAAAACACACACACCTGCCTGGACTCAGAACAGACAAAACGCGCACCCCTGCACGTGGACTCAGAACAGACAAAACACACACACAGGCCAGGTTGGGAACCCGCTCTCCAAAGCCCCAAAATCCGCTGGGGGGCCTTGACAAAGGGTCTGGGCGGCTGAGGGCTGTCCCTCGGACATAGCCCGGCGTGGGACGCCCTCAGCATGCCAGTGTGTGCATGTCCGGAGAAGGAGGGGGCCTGGGGAGGAGAGAAGGACTTGGTGGAGGAGGATTACGACGACGACGACGACGACGAGGAGGAGGAGGAGGAGGAGGAGGAGGATCAGTTTGATCCAATCCTCCTCAGAGAGCGAAGGGATGCCAATGTGGCCGTGTGAACATGCGCACACCAGAGAGAGGTAGATAGGGACCTCGACATGCAGATCCCGAGGTCCAGGTGGAGAGGGCTGCTTGTGCACAGGAAAAAAAGGAGAAAAGTGGGGAAAAGGAAAAAGTTTAACTTGAGTTGTAGCAAAACATATAGGGCGTCGCTGCACTACTCTCGAAATGGGGAAAACGAGAGTGAATCTTCCGCTAAAATATGGAAAGATACACGGCCAATATTTTTGTCTTTGTGCATGTCGAGAGTAGTGCAGCGAGGCCCATAGCCTTAGGAGTAGTGGTGGGAAGGTAGTGAAAGGCAAAAATAAAATTGAGAGAAGAACATAGTGTAGTTGAAAAAAAAGAAAAAGGGGCAACTTCAGTAGAGTCACAAGAAACGAGTTTGCAGTATGAGGCAAGATACGGTTTGCAATTGCAGTTCGGGTACCGTACCTGGCCAGAAAGCTGCGTTGTATACAAAGGAAAAGAAAAAAGTTCAAAAAACTGGCTAAGGCTGCCAGGATAACTCCGGGTTGAGTTGTGACGTCGCCGGCCTCGATCATTTGATTGTGGTAATGATTTGATTGTGTTCAATTTGTTGTTACTAAAAAAAGAAGAAGAAAAAAAAGAAAAAAAAAAAGAAAGAAAGAAAAGAACAACAACAACAACGAAGCTGAGTTGTTACACCCACGAACTGATGAGATGGAGACCCAAGTTCGAGTCCAGATACAATTAGATGACCAGGCGATATATTCCAATCTCAAAAAAAAAAAAAAAAAAAAAAAAAAAAAA